TGCACCTAATTGTGCGCACAAAATATATAGAAAAATGTCATTTGTCTAAATAGGTACGTCATGTTTCATTAACTCCATTTCACAAAACGTAGTCACATTTAAAAAAATGACATTTTTCTATTAAAGATATTGGAGCATTTCACGTGAAGTGGACAGGAAAAAAAAGTGATGTGCTGAAAATCGATCATATTCAGCCCATTTATACTTCTAGTAGATATGAATGTGAATTCAAAATGTTTTTTTTGTATTGTGTATATTTCACAAGTTATGGGTTTCTAACTAAAGATTTGTCGTACTTGTAATATCAATTTTATGTAAGTAGTTTTTCGAATTTAACAAATTTACAATAAAATATTTAATATAGCGATACGTATTGGAAAAGGACTATTCTTTATAACAACAAAATGAAATATATAAAAAATTTTTTTTTCATGTCGTAAACCAGAAGTAAACTTTTCAAACCCGAATTTCAGTCACTTCGACCAATTTTTTCTTCTTCTTTTTTTATCAATATATAATTTAAAATGTATTAAAAATACACGAGGAAATTCAAAATGGGATCTCAATTATTTTAGAAGTTAGATTGATTAATGTACGTACGCGCCTCAATGGGCGTGATATCTGGCGCTTGCTTAGATCGGTTGGTGTGCGGGAAACAACATGTCTTGTATAATTGTTGTGGTATATTTAATTATATCATAATAAAACATTGTAACAACGCAAGAACTAGTTTATTTTGTAAATTTTACAACTTTACAGTGGGAATCTATACCAGAACTGGTCCTTTTCACAAGAAGGCCACTGGTTGTTGGAATAAAGCTGTGAAAATTTTTGGTTCCTGGAATGGTAACTGTAGACGCAAACCGTGGTTGCAAAAAAATTCTCTGACGTTCTATATCGTTTTTAGTACAGAAGTAAATGGCTGTTTGTTTTAAAGATGATTTTGCCCATTCGTATAATCGTATCGGTGTTACAATTGCTTTACTTGAAGGTAACTGTAGACTTGCACGCGCGGCTAAACGTTTGAGATTCCCTCCCAGACCATCGCATGGCCCCTTCCCGTGAGCCGTTGCATGAAAATGTAACTCTGCATCTGCATTAAAATCGTCCTTGTAATAAAACAGATTCACAAAGTTGAATCTGTTTTTAAAATGTTGGGAAGCTCCGTCGGTTATATAAGGTGTTAAAAAAGAAGCTGCAGGTAATCTAAGGATTTGTTGAAATATTTAATCCATAATTAGTCACGAAAAAATAATTTAAAAATAAGCTACCGTTCTAAAGTTATTCCACTATTTGCGTTACACGTAAACAGACTAATATGCGCGCCGTACTAGGCCGTCGAGCGTCGACGAAGCCCTGCGCGGCCGCGCTGACGCAGGTGTCGCGCTACCGCGCGCTTATGTTACTTTTGAACTTAAAAATGTTTCATTTTAATAAACGACCACGCGACTTGGTTAAGATTTTGTTATTACAATGAATTGATATGCTACTGAAATTAAATTAGCATAGCAACAATTATTAATAATGTTATTTTTTTTAATAGGTAAATACTCGAATAGAAACGAATACTTAGGTACTCTGTATTTATCATTTACGAGTATTCATTGGAATAAATGCACGTCTCTAGATACTTAAGTATAAACAAAGCGTCTTTACCTTATTTACAGAAGATGCTGGAAGTGTCTTCCGCCTTGTTCGATGCACAAGTTTGCACGACGAATTACATTGTTTCTCACTCGCAATAATGTGTCTCTGTCACTTTTAACAATATCAAACGCGTTTATTATGCGCATTTTCAATTCGTCCGCGTTTCTAATTTCACTACCACTGTGGCCGTAAACTAAGTCCTTAACACGACCCCAAAGATAAAAATCTAAGGGAGTGAGGTCCGGGGATCGAGGTGGCCATGCAATCGGTCCACCGCGGCCTATCCAGCGATTTGGATAGGCAACATCTAAATAGTCGCGAGCTGCTCTATGATAGTGGGCTGGAGCTCCATCTTGCTGGTAATAATGCCCTCTTATTTCAGCAAGAGGAACATCTTCCAACATTTCTTCAACAGAATGGAGCAATTGAACATATGTTTCTCCGTTGAGGCGTTCCAAGAAGACAGGACCAAGTACCGTATTCCCTATTATTCCAGCCCACACGTTCACTGAGAATCGGTGCTGAAAGTGGTCAGGGATCACGGCTTTCGGGTTTTCGTACGCCCACCAGTGAGCGTTGTGAATATTGAACAATCCAACTCTGGTAAAAGTGGACTCGTCTGTCCACAAAATGTTGCGAGTTGGGTTTTCTATTAGCCACTCACAGAATCGACGGCGTGGTTCGTAATCTGTAGGTATTATCTCTTGAACCGCAAAAAGTGATACGGGTGCTGGCCTTCTTCACGGAGCATGTTCCATACGGTAACGTGACTTATTCCTAAGTCACGACCTGCGTCGCGTGTGCTCGCGTGTGGATTCTCGTGGAAGTAGTCAAGTATTCGTCCTTCAATATCGCCGGAAAACCGCGGCCTGCCGGTATCTGCTGGGGAGGACGAAACTGACCATAATTAGTAAACGCTGGTAAGCTCCCAGGATTGTCTGCAAAGCCGGTACTCGTCGTTGAGCACCATACAGTTCCTGGTACATAGTACGAGCTGCAGATAAATTTTGGCCACTTCTAATGTAACACACTATCATGTCTAAGTACTCGCGGTTACTGTACGTAAACGGCATTATTGAATAATAAACAATAAAAAATGGCGCGTGCGATTGATCGGACACAACACTGAATGACACTGAACGACACTGAGCGATACACCATTCCCGCGCAACAGCCATCGGTCAACTGGCGAACTCGATCGCCAGGCGATCGAGTGAAAGAAGTGAGAGAGATAGCGCGGCAACTAGCGATCGCGAGAGAGAGAGGGAGAAAGAAAGAGAGATTGTGATAACATGGGGCCGGTGACGGAGCGCCGTAATTTCGCTCGGGCCGCAAGCGCAGCCCCGCGTACAGATTGCACAAAAAATTTTAACGAACTCCTTTATTTTTGTTAAAATAAAAGTAATTTAATTTTTAATTTTTTTTTTGATATACGTGTCTATTCACGGATTCCCACCAACCTCATAAAATATTTAGAGCGAATTTATTAACACCTTATATAAGGTGCTCTATAATTTTTAGCCACGGCTTTAATGAGAGGTAGTGTTATGTTTACAGATTACAATTGTGAAGAAATTTCGTGCCCCGGACCAGTTAATTACATACAGTAATTAACTCGTCGAGTACCGGTTTTATAGACACAATTAAAGAACAATAGGTCGCGGTCACCGGTGACCGCTTGGTGTTTGACAGTTTAAGTAAACATTGACTACATTCTGCATAATGTGGTTCACAAATTACGCGCGATGCGTCGCTTAGTCAATGAAAACAATTGCTATCTCTTTCCACGTGTACTGAGAATGAAAACGGAAATCAGCTGACTAGTTCGTCACTATCTAATCTACTAGGTACTCAATAGGCAGGCTAACAAGGGTTTTAAAAGTGCAATTACTTACCAGGTACGGCATTCTTCCGAAAAGCTGATGTAGGTAAATAAGATTATAAACTTCCCATCACACTTAAAACAGTTTTTTACACACTTTTACAGTTATGTACACACTCTCTACCTACTTATCTACAAAACTGTTGCACAAGTCCACCTTCGCGTTGCACACAAATGAAGGCACGCTTCCAAACATGTCATTTCACATTATTTAACGTGTCCGTTTCACTTTTACTTTGTTTCGCGTTTGATTTAAAAGACGCCACAAGTTATTGTCTCTATCATAGTAAACTCCGGCAGTATCCCTTGTGCTCGCAAGAGGATGACACCGAAAGAACTCTAACACTTCCTCTTCGAGTTCTGATTTGAATTTCGTCGCCTAGGAGGCTTACGTAGCGCGTGCGTAGGTATCCCCGACATTGAAACTGACGTCCGGGCAGGCGGGGGTTGATTGGGCTACTGGCGGCCGGGCGGCGCGTGCGACGAGTTCTGCTGGCTGGGGTGTGCTGTCTCGTTCTTGAACGCCCCGTCATACGCTGTTGCCATCCTTATCAGTAGCTCAACCCCCGCCTGCCCGGCGGCCTGTTGACCAGCGCGTGCGACGAGTGCAGGAGAGAGTGCGGGCGCGCGGGGGTGTGCAGCGTGCTCCTAGCCGCCCGGCGCCGTGCGGTCTGATAAGGATGACAGCAGACGAGTTGTCTCGTTGGATAAGAACGGCAACAGTGTAAGACGGAGCAGCACCCGCGTTTTGCGAATTGAATGAATCGGAGCAGTGCGGCAACGCGGCAACACCCGTCATACACTGTTGCCAGACCGCTCAGCGCCGACACACGTAGGACTCGGTTAGGAGCACGATGCACACCCCCGCGCGCCCGCACCCTCTCCTGCAATCGTCGCACGCGCTGGTCAACCGGCCGCCCGCCAGTAGCCCAGCTCCCGTCCGCCCGTACGATAGTTTTAGTGTCGAGGATAATACGCGCGCTACCTAAAAATGGCTTCCAGGCGACGAAGATATTCAAATCAAGACTATCTTGAAATGGTCTTGTGCTACCGCGAGTGTAACTCGATAACTGCACATGCGGTTAATTTATACCAGCAGAGGTTCGGTGTGCGAGTGAGCCATCACACCATAATGAATGCAGTATACCGAATGCGAGAACACGGCCGCTTTGACCCGCCTGCGGTTGACGCAGGCAGGCCTCCATTATCGGCTGAACTCGAAGAGGAAGTGTTAGAGTTTTTTCGGCGTCATCCTCTTGCGAGCACAAGAGATGCTGCTCGAGTTTACAATGTCAGCGGCAATTACGTGTGGCGTTTTTTAAATAGCGAAGGGCTTCATCCTTATCATTTCACCAGGATACAAGAATTACACGAAACTGATTACGCAGCGCGCCTCACGTTTTGTCGTTGGCTAAGGGAGGAACGACGCAACATTCTTTGGACTGACGAGTCGACATTCACACGAGTTGGTATGTTCAACATACACAATGCGCACTATTGGACTGATGCGAATCCCCGTGTTGTGCGGCCTGACCACTTCCAGACTAGGTTTAGTGTTAATGTGTGGGCCGGAATACTCGGCAACCGAATTTTAGGGCCAGTGTTTTTAGACAGACTGAATGCAGACACGTATCTGCGTTTATTACAAACCCGCGTGAGAAGAATGTTGGAGCGTATTCCTCTTGAAGAGGTAAGAGGGCTGCTTTTTCAACACGATGGAGCACCACCTCATTTCGCACTCAGCGTGCGTGAATTTTTAAACGGTGTGTGGTACGGTGGTGACCGGTGGATAGGTAGAGGTGGCCCAGTGCCATGGCCTCCTCGCTCGCCGGATTTAACTCCACTAGACTTTTTTTTGTGGGGTCGTGTAAAGGACCTTGTGTACGGCCAAACTGGGCATGATATTAGAAGTGTGGAAGAACTAAAAAGGCGCATCAAACGCGCATTTAGACAAGTGAAAAATGAAACAGACACATTAAATAAAGTGAAAAGACACGTAAGGAAGCGTGCCTTCATCTGTGTGCAAAGTGAAGGTGGACTTGTGCAACAGTTTTGTAGATAAGTAGGAAGGGAGTGTATAAATACGATTCAATTGTTGTAAATAAGATGATTAACTTTTAAACACGCCAAGTTACAGTTTATCGTTATTTGATATTAATTTAAGTTAAAAAAAATACGATTCTTACGCTAACTTGACAGTCCAAAGCCTGTTTAAGTGTGATGGGAAGTTTATAATCTTATTTACTTACATCAGCTTTTCGGAAGAATGCCGTACCTGGTAAGTAATTGCACTTTTAAAACCCTTGTTAGCCTGCCTATTGAGTATCTAGTAGATTAGATAGTGACGAACTAGTCAGCTGATTTCCGTTTTCATTCTCAGTACACGTGGAAAGAGATAGCAATTGTTTTCATTGACTAAGCGACGCATCGCGCGTAATTTGTGAACCACATTATGCAGAATGTAGTCAATGTTTACTTAATTACTGTATGTAATTAACTGGTCCGGGGCACAAAATTTCTTCACAATTGTAATCTGTAAACATAACACTACCTCCCATTAAAGCCGTGGCTAAAAATTATAGAGCACCTTATATATATAATTTTAGATCCAACTATTGATTTTTCTAAAAGATGCTTGTCTAGTATCTTTTGGAAAGATAATAATAAAGATGATAATATGGCACTATTTGACCTGCTATCAAGTATAATGACTTCTGTGGATAAAAAAATCCGGTATGTTCGATCTTCACGGATATGTCAAAATAGTACGGGAGCTAGCAACGTTTGGAAAGTAAGAATTTTAGGTCAGCTGATTTTGTGATATGTCGTCCTTTTTACACTTTCGGTTAGAGTCTGGGCTATCTGGCTGGCGGTAGCGGTTGCGTTCTTTAGTGCGCATCCTACCTGTCCAGGTAATAATCCTGGATTTTAAAAACATTTCAGAAGGCGTAATTTTTAATTTTTTGTTTTTAAATAAGTCTACCTGAAATACTTTTTTTATTGCCAGACATTTTTGACAATGCTAACTATGTACCATACGCGATTTTTTTTTATTTTAATAAAATTTCAAAGTATTTTATAATGTCTGTAATTTTAATATTATGTTATTTAAGGATAAAAAAAAACTTAAAATAAATTTGCCAGACATTAATTCGATTGTTAAGTCTTGAATTAAAATGAAAACGTCATGAAAAGTATTCTGCCCTCGTAACTGAAAACACAGTATCTCAAGAAATGTCATTTTGAGATAATGGCGGTTAAAGTTTGATAACTAAAACATGCCGTTGTGAAGAAACTATTATGGTTACATAAGAGTGTTTTTTTGCTACGAAATACAAGTGACTGAACTTAATATTTATATATTTAAAATTGCTGAATAATAATTAAATAAGTAATAAAATGAGATAATGTGTTACAGTCAATCGGGGTAACTTTGACAGAAAAATACTGTATTTAGTCTAATATTGAAGGCATGTTGGTTGATAGACAATAATGGAAGTCATTTACGGTGTTCCGGAGCTGATCGCGTTTCTATTCATATAGTATTTTTTTTTTAAATATACTAGAAAGCAACAAAATCTGTACTTTTTGTGTGTGTCAAAGTTACCAGCCTTTAAAGGGTAACTTTGACACTGGTGGAGCCAGTCATAGAAAACCGATATAACTTAATTTTTAAAGCTTCGGGTTTACTTTGATATGTATTTTTAAGATAAAAGATCTATGGTCGAGTAAATAAAACCATAAAATGATATATGTGGGTACTATATTTATTGCAGAAATATTAAGTTAAGAAAGGGTGTGACACATTTCTTCAATTTTGACAATCAATCCAAAAAACATTAATCTTAATCATAAAATGAGTTTAACTAAAATGAAAATTACGATCAACAACGTCTTGCTAATTTTTTTTCACCCCATTCCATGTAGAGTAAATCGTCATTGATGTGGTAAATACTTTCCATATTAAATATTTCCATAGGAAATATTTCCCATTGGTTATCATTTTCCAGCAAACCTCTATCTCGGCAAGCGGCTTGGTAAGTTTCTTTAACAATTCCCTCAACTGTTTGTAAATACTGGAATGATGTTGGGCCACGTACATGATGAAGTAGTATCCTGAGATAAAAACATTCTGACTGTGAAGGATGAATGCTGTACACTCTTCCCAATGCTGCATCTTTTTTTATGCCGGGGTGTCCAACTACGTCTTGGCCACGCTTCCTTCTAGAAAATTTATTGTTTGCCCATGTATAGTAATGAGGGACTTCGTGATAGAGTAGTGTTCTAGCAAACCCGTCACTGCTGCACAGGTCAAAAAAGGCAGTGAGTGTCGTTTTAGGTGGATTTTCAACAATATTTTGTATATTTTCCGCTGAGAAGTATACTCGTTGTCCGTTCTCTAAGTGTACTACGGTAGGGTGTCTGTCATGTATAGGAAACTCTAACAATCTCCACACTGCTTCAGATGTACTGATGTATCGGCCGTTTAAATATTTTTCAACTTCGTCATGAGCATTTCTGACACTGAAAGTGGCTTGATCCGATCCTTTATTAATGTACTTACATATGTACTTAATTGCTTGTACGGAATGATAATATTCAACGTTTATGTGAGCGTTGAAAGATCGGCACAATATTGGGCAATATGGAACGATCCATCTGTTGTCAATGTTGACTGTTCTTCCTCGCACATTCAAGGTAGCGACCTGCCCTCCGTTGTCGATGTCGCGTCGTCGATAAACGGGATATCCGTCCTCATCGGTCTCGGATTGAGTTACAAAACGTCGTGGGTATTTTTTTGAACAAATGCCATTTTTCATGCACGGCGAAGTCAAATTTTCTTCCCCACATGGTCCATGTACCATATTTTTTGTGACTATTTCGAACAACTCTGGATCTTCCTCTTTATTAGGTAGCTCGGCAACTATTATGCCATCAATTTCATCGGGCTGTATTTTTGTGTCCAGCCAAAATAACATAGTTACCATAAAACATTTAACCGTCCCAAAAATCGCGTCTTTTGTGATTATGTTTATAATTTTTTTCATTTTTAAGTGAAACACTCGAGCAATGATGTCATGCCGATCGAAAGATCGCTGACCGGGAAAAAGTTCTTGCTTTATTTCTTCCCATTCCGGATTACACGTAAAAGTTATAAAAAGGTCAGGCCTTCCATAATTGCGCACATATGTCATAGCATCTTGCGTCTTTTCGTGGAGATACCTCGTTGACCCGGTAAATGACGACGGCAAAATGACATGCTGACCTAAATTGGCGACATTTACACCTGCGTCTTGGTTTAAAGCATCCCTCAAATGAATATAGTTATCCGCTCTTAGCTTTTGTTGGTTTCGGGAAATAAAATTTAACCTCTCTGAAATCATCTTCGCCATCATATCAACACAATACTGATTAAACAAATCTTTGTAATAATGCAGTGTGTTAAAACAGTTCGTCCTAATCATTAAACGGTAGGCATAATATTGCATACATGACACTGTCTTATTTCGTAATGCATTCTGCTGAGGAATATTCACATAATATCCGTCGTCTCCTGTTACATATATAAGTGGATATTGTAACGGATCGTAAGCGCGGTGCAATTCCGACACTCGTTTTAGTTGTCCGTCTCTACCATGCAGCACAATATCCCTGGGTCCTTTGTCTTCGTCGACCAACAGAACGGCCACTTCATTTATGGAAGGAGCGTTATATCTGCCTTGGTGTTCTGTCTGAGGTGTGCGATCAGAGTGAATGATTAGTTTTAAACTTTCCGGGTTGTTAAGTTCGATACTATGCTTGAAACTTCGTACGTATATATTGTGGCTATTTAATACGGTCTGCAATTCGTTAATCAAATCAATTTTTAGCGTAGGGGCCATGTTTGATCGCAAAGATAGTTGGTCAGCTCCTGAAATAAAATATATTTGCAGAAATTGAGGGTTTTGTCCTGCTGGTGGTAAGAGGCTACCTATAAGATGGTAGACTTGTCCTTCTACCTTAAAGGTGGGCATAAAATTTCCCTCTCTAATTTCTTTTGCCCCAAACAAAGTCATCTGAAAAAGACTATTGTATCTACGCGCATTGTTCAAAAAATGCGCAGAAAGTGTGTGATTATTAGTCAATAGGCTTTTTATTGGTTCTGGTGGCTCTGTTATATTAGGAAGAATAACTTTTCCAGACGCGCAACACATACCGTTCGCTTCATCATTCCATTTTTTTGCACAACATCGCGGGCAAACCTTATTCATTGCTCCGATTTGGATGCTGTTTTGATGAGCATAATCAATTTGTGGATCGTAACTGAATGCCGATCTATTGCTATGAGCTAAAACTCTATTACGCGTCCTAATTGTTAAAGAATGTTGTCTTTCTCTCTGTGCAATAAGTCGCTGCGAGCGTTCGGCGCTAGATTCCCTGGCACGTGTTTGTGAGTTCCTAACTCTATTTTCTGCAAGACGCTGCGAGCGTTCAGCACTCGATTGTCGTTCGTGTAGTTGTGATGATCGGGTATTTTGTGCAATTAGTCGCTGCGAGCGTTCGGCGCTAGATTCCCTGGCACGCGTTTGCGAGTTCCTAACCCTATTTTCTGCAAGGCGTTGCGAACGTTCAGCACTCGATTGTCGTTCGTGTAGTTGTGATGATCGGGTATTTTGTGCTGAAAGACGAAGCGCATGTTCGGCGCTTGATTCCCTTCCACGTGATTGTGACATTCTGTCACTATTTTGAGCAAGGCGGTGCAAGCGTTCGGCGCTAGATTCGCTTGCACGTGATTGCGACGCATACGCTCTCTGATTTGCGAGACGATCAACATTTTCAGAAACTGATTCTTCATCACGTCGTATTTTTGCTAATCTCGCTTGAGAGCAATTTTTAGATAGTTGAGACCTTTTTTTCTTGGCATATTGATGAATTTTTTTTTTATTAGATAAAAATAAGAATAGAAATTAGGATAGAGAATAAGAATAGAATTTAGGATAAATACTTACTATGGAAAATAAGGGTATAAGTAAGAATATAATTTAGGATATTATAGCAGTAAAGCCTGAATGAACAATTTAT